AATTGGACACATCAGGTGAGCTCTGTTTCTTCCAATCCCATCTTAAAGAGATACCATTACAGAGGAATGCTGAGACAGGCAGATACAAAGTTATTGAACTGAGGAAACTAAAGTCATTGATCACTGGATTTAAATTTCTAATCACATGAGGTGATGGAAAGGAAAATGCTTGGGGTTTTTTGTTCCTGTGGATTCAGTTAGGGGATTGTACATTTAGGGTCATCCTGTGACTGAGTGTAGTAAAGAAATTATTCTGGAAGGACTGTGATCTAAAGCCCAGAGCAGTCACGTGCATGTGCCCCCCTGAAGCCCCTGGTTTCAGCTGAAAAAGGAATTAAGGGGTTATACCTGCAGGATCTCCTCCTCAGCTCAGTTGTGCAGCAATGAAGCCCTGCTTGTGACTACCAGGTGTAGAATACAAGAAAAAGAGAAAGTGTGTGTGGGTGTACCTATGTGTATTTGTTTGTGCAGGAACTCCCAAGTCATTAAGTAAAACATTTCAGTTACTGCACTAGGCAGCTGGCATTGCCATGTATGAAGTAACCTCTCACTGTGCAAATAAATGTATAACATAATCTTTCAGAACCAATTTCAGCATGTCTCCTGCCATTGCATTAATTCTCTTATGGATCAACTATTTTTTTCTTTTTTCTTATTCACACTTTATCAGGCCTTTTTCAAATTTTTCATAATTTATCCATATGCCCAGTTCCAGGAGATACTTAACTGGCAGTCTGGCAGCTCAGAAATATGTCCTCAAACTTAGCACTGAGTATAGCTTACATGGAAATAATGAGAGTTTCCCAAACCCCTCCTTCTCATCTCTTCCCTTTCTGCCTCCTACTCTTCCCTTTTCCCAGGGTCTGTCCAAATTGTTAGATGAGGACCTGGAGCATCCCCCAGCCTCAGAAGAGTGGGACCATGAGCAGGATGAGCTGGTGCCAGCAGGTGCCTTGGATCAGCAGGACACTGAACTCCAGTGGGTCCCAAACCCCAGGGAGCAGCCCAGGAGCATTTCCACGGGTGACACTGCCATCTGGAGATTCCTCAGCGACCTCCTGGGCTCATCCCGTAGATACCAAGGCAGAAGAAAGAAGAGCCTCCCCAGGGGCTGTTTTGGTGTCAGACTAGACAGAATTGGATCTCTGAGTGGACTAGGATGCTGACTCTGCTGTGGTAAGAGAAAACCAGAGGCTGCTGGTCTGTGTATTCATGTATAACTTGCAGAAATATGCAAAAGAGCAGAGTTAATTCAGCTTCAAGGAAAAGGTGCCTTATTAGAAACTCAGTTTATTGTTTTATCTTCCTCAGAATTTACTGTCATCAGATGTAGATTTAAAATCTGTGAATGCCATACCTGTTTTACTTGCTTTTCCTCCTTCCTCTGAATCAGCTGTAATCATTTCATTTTGTCTTAGAAGATCAGAGAGGTTTTTCACCAGCTCCCCAGGGATATTTGTTTCAATCCAAACAAACTCTAAGCAGAACAGTAGAGCTAAATCTGCCACTAGAACAGTAAGAAAACAGTTAATTTCCATGTGTGAAATCCTGTACACTTCTCTTTCTATTACTTACACATCCTCTTTATTGACAGGACTGATTTTGGGGTTTCAAAGCACCCCTTGCCTACTGCAGTACCACTCTGTACTGAGCAAATGCACCCACCTCTCCCCTGATATATTGTCCAACAGGATGCACCTTTGTTGTACTGCCTGTTTGTATCAGAGTATTTATTTGTGAACACCTATCTGAAAATTAATTACAGAAAACGACATTTGTACTCCTTGTTTACTAATGTATAAATAAACAAGTCTCATTATGTCACAGGTAATAAACTGTTTTCCATAATGTAATGAATTTGCTTCAAAGTTTGCTGTGTGATTTGTTCATATTTCATTCCTGAAACAGAGCCCTAGTTTGCAGTTAGACACTGGAATTCAGAAGCATTTCAGAGGGCTGCTGTGTGGTAAAGAGAAACCAGGACACAAAGCCCCAAGTCTCTGACCCACAATTTGAACAGAGGGAAGATCTCTTAGCAGGCATCACTAGAAAGCAACAACTCTGCATTTAGATCTGCCACTGATGGAGGAAAACAATTTTTTTCTTAGTAGTATACCTCATCTTATTAAAAAAAGAAAAAAAATAAACAAAACCCCCCAATGAAACAACAAAAACCCCAACCCCTAAACAAAACTACCATTCTTTGAAGGAAATTCGAAGACCCCCCACTCTTCCATTGGCAGATCCAAGTACTTCAAACCACTGAGAAGAAAATTGAAAAACATATCCTGAAGGCTTCATTGTTTAGCATGTTTGGTTAGGTCTTATGTTGTTTGCTAGTTAATCTGTTTAAGTTAACTTTATTAACAAAGCAACAGCAACTGAGAAAATGTGCTGAACAGGTATTTGTTGCCATATGCATACACAGCCCTGAGTACAAGTTCTTCAATGATGGATTGGTTAATAATGAATTTATTACACTCTGAACTGCCATTCCTAAGGGAAAAAAAAACCAGAAAATTAAGATTTCTACCAATGAAAAAAAGAATTAAAGTCCAGAACAAAAACTGTGTTATTCTTTCATCTTCCAGCATAATTCCATACCAATGGCTAGTCTATACATGGCTTAAAAGAAACTATTTAGGCTAAGAAGAGGCAGACCTGCTTACTTGGGGGAGTTTAAAGCTTGTTCCTAGCTCCCAGTAACTACAGCAGGGATGTTGTCACAGACATAAAAGCTTCTTAATGTTGAAATTTCACTGAAAACCCAGTGGAGGACAAGGACTACTGAAGTTTATTTGCAGAAAAATAATAGAGGTCAGAGTAGGTTGAAGTCTGAGGTGTGAGCACTTGTGAGCAGAATCCTACAGAAGATGAATAAGAAACAGATAAGAGTTGCAATTACAGAGGTCAGGCTTGTAATGTGCCATCCCATCACCTGGCATTTTGTGGGAACATTTTAAAAAGGCACTTTTCTCAAAGCAGGAACAATTTATTTCACATAAAAGGCTCTATAATTAGATCCCCAAGACTGAAGCCAGGTGTGTTTGTACTTTAGGTAATTTTCTGAGCTCTATTAGCATTTAAATAATCAAAGCTAAGCTTTGAAGTGAGGATGCCAGCCAGATGAGGGAAGCTCATCTCTATCTGTGCCATTTCCATCTTTGCTAAGAAGCAGTGCATGAATTTACAGACCAGGGTAACAGAAGTTGCTGAGGAGAAAAGCCTCCAATAAAAGTACTCCTACATGGAAAGAAACATACAGATATCTTTCTCAAATATGTGTGCTTTTGGTGTACCTGATTTTAGGTGATGTTAGGCAGTAATTGAGATTTGGTCTCATCCAAGACTCATTTCTGGCTAGGTTAATAGAGGGCCAGTTGTATTTATTCCCTTGATCATCACACAGATCCTGCTCAGTCTTGCTGCTTTATCCCTTTCCACTCCTGTCTTCAGTACACACAAAATTGAGGGTGATGCACATCCTCACCCAGATCTGCTTTCATTCTCTATCAATAACCCTCTCACCTGACATGATCTTCCTTCATTCAGGTACTGCACTTTCTAAACACACATCTCCTTTCTCTGCCAGGTTCTTTGCTGTGTTGCTTTAAACAAATCCACTTGCCAGCTGTCAAAATAGCTGGATGCAAAAATCACTGTCCCAAACCAGTTGATATTGCTGGTTTGCTTCCATTCTAAGCAAATGAAGGCAGAGACAGTGAAATTGCTTTAATATTACCCAGGCAGTGAATGAAAGGGACCCTGTCTGCTGTTCTGCCTCTTACAGAAGGAAGGATTACAAAGGTAAGGAAGGATTTGGTGACAATGCCAGAGAACCGTCACCAGAGGAACTTTCAAAGAAAAATCTTCTACACCCAAGTCTCAGGACATGGTCTACTCACATAGCACAGAAATTTGTATACGGAGAAGAAAAAGTTGTTGTCCCAAGAGCTGCAGCAGACAGATGAACATTTTCAACTCCTTCAACTTGTCTCTCCCACAGAGAAAGGATCCGTCCCTCAGCCCCTTGGAGGGGAAATCAACCCAGCTCTCAGCTCCTGTGTATCTGAGGCAGAGCAAGCAGGCTGCAAGTGCAAAGTTCTTTCCCTGCATCAACTCCTTCCTAACAGTGATGCAGGGTGGAGGAAACCGTGGAAAAAGGGGTGCCAGTAGGGGAGATGACTTAGGGCAAATCTTTCCCTCTGGAGCAGTTGCTGCACACAGAAGACCCCCAGCTCCTGAAGGGTGACCTGTGGGGACAGCTGCCACCAGTTCCCTTAACAAAGCCAGAGGGAACAGTGCAGCACTTTGGGATCGGGCAGGAGGCAGCTGAGCTTCCTCTGGGCACAGTGGGGATATCAGGAGAGACATCCACGGGCAAAGAAGCAATGCAGTATTGAGATGGTGACAGGGAGAGGGAAAGAGAAGGGACTGGATATAAGGATAGGGATGGAGATAGGGATAGGGACAGGGACAGGGATAGGGATAGGGATGGGATAGCAAAGAAGCAATGCAGTATTGAGATGGTGATAGGGAAAGAGAAAGGGCTGGATATAAGGATAGGGATGGGGTTGGGGATAGGGATAGGGACAGGGATAGGGATAGGGACAGGGATAGGGATAGGGACAGGGAGAGGGACAGGGATAGGGATGGGATAGGGGTAGGAATAGGGACAGGGATGGGATAGGGATAGGGATAGCAAAGAAGCAATGCAGTATTGAGATGGTGATAGGGAAAGAGAAAGGGTTAGATATAAGGATAGGGATAGGGATGGGGTTGGGGATAGGGATAGGGACAGGGATAGGGATAGGGATAGGGACAGGGAGAGGGACAGGGATAGGATAGGGATAGCAAAGAAGGAATACAGTCTCAAGATGGTGATAGGGATAGGGAAAGAGAAAGGGCTGGGTATAAGGATAGGGATGGGGATAGGGAATAGGGACAGGAACAGGGATGGGATAGGGATAGGGATGGGGACAGAGACAGGGGTAGGGACAGGGATGGGTTAGGGATAGCAAAGAAGAAATACAGTCTCGAGATGATGATAGGGATAGGGAAAGAGAAAGGACTGGATATAAGGATAGGGATGGAGATAGGGATAGGGACAGGGACAGGGATAGGGATGGGCATGGGGACAGGGACAGGATGCAGTTCCCGGCTCTCTGCTGCGGCCCCCCGCTCGTTCTGCCGCGGGCAGAGGCGCAGCGGCCGGCGCGGGGCGCGGTGCGGGGCGCGGTTCGGGGCTGATTCCCTGCGGGTCCCGCGGCCGGGGCTGCAAAAAGGGGTGCTGCCCATCCCGCACCCATCCCGCCGGGGCCAGGTGGTAGAAGCGGCGCTCTCAATCCTTCCTCTCTTCTCCAGGACCTCCCGCGGTCGCTGCGGCAGCTCCGGGCAGAGGAAGGGGAACCGAGCCTGGGAGCCGAGGCGGTGCCGGGGCAGCTCCGAGCGGGACTCCCGGCTCCGCTCCTGGCCTCAGACTCCCCAGGCACGGAGGGACGGAGCCAGCGGAGGAGCCTGCTGTGCCCCCTCAGACGGACACCCTGCTGCTGCTTGGGGCGGGGATGGAGCGGAGCGGGGCGCAGGCCGGGCTGGGACGCGGCCGGCGCGGAGCCCGCGGGTGCCGGGAGCCGCCGGCTGAAAGCGCCGGGGCGGCTTCCCCCGCAGCTTCTTCCACAGATTTCTCTGCGCTTCTTTCACAAATTTCTGGAGCAGATGGAGCAGCTGAAGCCGGGACCGGCGCCCAAGCGTTTCCCGAGTCTCCGGGCCGGCGTTCAGGATTTCTGGAGCAGATGGAGAAGCTCAAGACCGGCGGGACCGGCGCCCAAGCGTTTCCCGAGTCTCCGGGCCGGCGTTCAGCAGCCACACCACCAGGCTGCCCTCATGCCCGCCACGGCACTGGGGTACGGGGCAATAAACTTTGTGCCAAGCCTACATTGCCTTTCTTGAGTGGTTTTTTTTTGGGTCACGGTTTAGCAGATGGTCAGAGGATACAGAAACCCGTTCCAGAGCGCTCCTCTCCCCCTGCTCTAAGGACTCTGTCCCGACCCTGGCAGAACATCCCCCCCGTTCTGGAAATCTTATGCTGGTGGGTGGCAGCAGCAGGAAGGATGGGATGGTGGTTGCATCCTTCAGGACTGTTCAGGACCCTCCACGCTGTACTGAAGTGGCACTGCCAGGCACCGCTGCCAGGTCTGCAGTGAGCCAGCATGGCTTTCCCCACGGTGCCACTGCTGCTACCAGGGAATCCTCCCCGGAGGAGGGCACGGGGCGAGGGTTAATTCCAGGCAGTGTCCGACACACGCCCCTGTGCCATGGGCTAAGCGCTGGTATCAGTGCCAGGCTTGGCACGGCACACCGGCACAGGGCCACTTCTCAGGACAGAGGGGCTCCATCGCTCTAGAAGCACACCTGGTTTCTAATTTACCGGCGGCTGCCGCTGCAGGCCCAGGGCTGCGAGGGCTTCAGCACCCGGGACAGACGCCAATGGCCCGCACGCTGCCCGCAGCCCGTACTGAGCAGGGAGGTCCAGAAAAAGAAGGCGCTGAGATAATGTGTCACGATCACCGGGAGAAACAAACGTGTTTAGGATGAAAATTAATTTTCCCCCTTGGAAAAAGTGAGGCACCACTTAATTGCAGGATGGCCACTCCAGACATTTTTACATTTCTGTTTTTATTCTTGTCTGATGGCTTCATTGATTATTTTATTTCTCAATCTAACTATCATGCAGGGAATGAGAGTCTGGGTGGGGTGTGGCATAGTTTTGTCAAAGGTTTTGTCACTGGGAGATGAAAGGAATCCAAATCCAGCCTCTTCCTCAGAAGAGGAGGCTCTGAGCAAACAGCTCACACTCCCCAGCCCAGAATGGCAGCAGGAGAATACACACAGTGGAAGGATGTGCAGCAGCTCAGGGCAGCACTTAAGGCAGGTCTATCCATCAGCAGATGGAACCCACAAGGCATCAGCCCCCAGGGTTATGGTCCTTAGCCTTACAGGGCTGAAAAACGAGGAATCATCTCGCTGGGGAAGGGGCAGTGCCACCTCAGCTGAGCTGTGTCCATCCTCCTCGTCACAGCATCCACACACAGGCTGCCAGGGGCATCTCTGATCTGAACAACCAGAGCTGCTCTAAAGGAACCTCCTGCACACCTCCCATCCCACACCCTGAGAATGGGGGAAATGTGCCAGATTCCCAACCCTAACACCAGTCACAGTAAGCTTTTCAGAGGAACCTGCTGCCCTGTTAAGGCAGACACTGGGAAATGCCAGCTGAGCATGGGCAATGCCTAGATCACGACTCTCTACTGCTGGGCAATAAAGCCTAAAGATCATATTAATTTACCAGGGTGATAAGACTGAGATAAACAAGTGATTTTTATAGCTTAACAATGATGAGCTGAGTTCTGACATTTCACACTCCATTTGCTTTGGCAGAACTACAAGATGGATAATCAAGGCAGAATTTGGCTGTGAAAATACAACTGCTACTGTGACAGGCAGCCACTTTATCCCACCCCTACATTGTACATGGAATAGGGCACAAAAGCTTCCTGTCTTAGAAAAGTATTGTCAAGGCTGAAGTCATGCTGCTGCATCTTATTTATCTGCCATGGAACACAGAAGATGAAAAAGAACGAACCAGTAAAGAAAGAACTATCTTGGGGTCTGACTTAATGACTAAAATTCTGGATAATTATATTGTTTCACAGGGACAGGTCACTCAAAGCAAAATATTTCACATGAGATTAATATTGTGTCCCTCAATTTCTTGCTGCTGGGTCTGTGCCCCAGGGCTGCTGTACAAAAAACAAAGCAAAACAAAACAAAAAAAAAGACACAAAGGAAATCTCAGAGCAAACTAACAAATGTTTTTGTACAGAGAGCACTAGAGAATACTTAGTGTGTGTGTGAGGTGTGAAAGGAAAGAAACAAGAAATAGAACAATAAAAGATTCTAATTATCTTAAATTGGACACTCAATGAATAATTCTGGTTTATCTTCTCTCACTTTGCAGTTTACAAAACAAAGTAACAACTTGGCACAAACAAACATACACAAACCAAGAGCAACAGTAAAAGAATACTTGTAACTAATTAAAGAATTATACAGACACTGCAGTGTAGAATGTTAATTGTAAAAAATAAGCTATCAGGATCTTAATTCTTTTTTAAAAGCACAAAATAAAAAAGTGTTTGAGTACACAATAATACAAAAAATAGTATTGCCTTTATGTTCTGAAAAAAATAAAGCATTGAGGAAAAATAGAGCTCTTACAATAAAGGGCTTCATCAGAACATACACAGAGTTGGGCTGACTTCAGGCTATATTAGGAAGAAGTAGCATTTGAGCGTGACTTCACAACCTTGAGAATGTCCTTTCTAGTATAATTTTGGTAGCTGATCATGTGAACAGTATGTGCACATGTTTGCACATAAACACCATGTTAAGACATTTAAGACATGGGAAATACTTTATCATTCTATTATTATTTTGAAAGCGTACTCAGGAGATTCTTTCAAGATCTATGTTCATACAAACAAACTATTACAACAAATTATTACAACAAATTATTACTAGACGGACATTCAACTTACTCCTACATTTGTTGTTTTCATTTAAAATAACAAGAAACATTAAGAAAATGCAAAAAAGGCCATTGTTTCATGATTTAGAACTCTCCTGCATTTCTGTAAAAAGATTAATTTTTAGTTATACTGTATGTACAAAGACAAAAATGGAAGAGAAATTTGAAGCATTTCTGTGCTTTTTAAATTTCACATCTAAGAATAGGCAGTTTCTAGCTAATTTTAAGACATTCAGCACTCAAACAAATAAATACTTTTAGTTTTTAATATAGTAAATTTAAGATTTTAACTCCCCACAAAACTCACATACATACAAATTCATCCATTCTTTCTTTGGGACAGATTCTGAATAACACCAGCTATCTATTTAAGCTCTCATTGAACAAGTTTCTTTCTTGTATGACGGTTAAATAAGTATATTGCTGAAACTGGCTGCCTGTTCTTTAAATTTTTATTGATGCAGGGTCAAGCCTTACCATCAGTGCTTAAAGAAATCCCATTATTTAAGCATTTGGCTGTTAATAAACATTAGTGTTTCTCAGCGGTGCCGAAGCCGGTTGTCGTGGAGGGCTGGAGGTGCTCGCTCTCCCCACAGTCAGTCTGCACTGAGCTGCAGATCTTGTTTGTAACACAAAAATACAAAATTTCAGTGGTGGAATCACCTCTGTAGCAAAGGGGAAAGTGGCCCAAATCTGGATTTTCAGCACACTTGTTGGTATGTGGTGGCCGCGCATATTCCATATAAGAAGGAAAGTGTGCACAGTACTTCAGGTGTCCTGAAAGACAATTTATCTTCATTCTTGACTCTTCACCAAATACTGATCTGAATGCCTGTTGTTTCCTAATTTCCTTATGGAAATCTTCTAACTGAGCAAAGTTTAGAGCAGTTTTGGGATTGTTTCCCATCTCTGTACATCTGACCATAGGGGTCTCTTGAAAGAGAATTGCTAAGAATTTCCAACTGGACTATGTAATCACAGCGCCTGGTATCAAGAGGAGGGGGAGTGACATGAAATCACTGACTTGTGACATACATTCCTCAGCAGCTGCTGCCTAATGACAGCTAATAAAGGGAATCTTCCCTTGACAGAGCTGCATGCCTGCAGTGGGACTGGAATGTGCCCAAGATAAACCCACTGATAACCTAGGAAGCAGGGATCACCCAAAGAGTATAAAAGACAAGCTTCAGAAGAGAGACAACAGGACAAGGAAGAAAGAGACTTGAAGGGACATCTCAGAAGAAGCAGCTTGAACTTCCCTCCTGCCAACGAAGTCAGCGCCATGGACACTAAAGGCTCATTTTTCTATGGCTTCCTTTTGCTGCTGCTCATCCAGCTCCAGTCCAGCAGAGCCAACCCTATCTACAGCCTCAGCCCTGCCAAAGAACTGGCCAGCATGGAGGTGAGGACTCTCATTTTGCAAGGTTAAACTTTTGGGGTGCTTAGCAGAGTGTGAGGTGGTGCTTTGCCTTCCTTTTGCATGGTTGGATAGCAATAACCACATCAGGGGGACAAAGCCTCAGCTTTTCAAAGGGGTTCAGAGAAGTTCTGTAGGGCAATATCCTCCCATGCTGGGTTCACCTGAGCTCCTGGACAGTAGTGGGAACAAAAATTGTGATGTTGTAGGATGCCTGCTTTGGTGTTTAGGTTCTTTTTCTTTTAAAGATACATCTTCCTGGGAACAAAGTTCCAGGGAAGGAAAAAATCATTAGAGTAGCTCCGTAAGAACAAATAGAAAACTCTGAGGTGGGGTCCTGTCCATATGTTTACCCCTGCTCCACAGGGCAGCCATATGGCTCTAGCTTTGTGATTTGAGAGATCTGGTTGTGTATGGATGAGAGATGAGGAGGTAAAGTGGAGCACCCAAAGACAAACTTTTAGAAATATTACTAGAGGAATAACACAATAATTTAGTATGGCTCATCCAGAAAAGCTTCCAGAGCTACAAAATTACCACTAAGCATTTTAACAAATAATAGAGAAAATCCATTGTTACAGCACGGTGCAAGCTTGAGACTCTGATGGGATCTGAAAGCTCAAAGCTTTCCTTGGGCTGGTTGGTACCAGTAACCAGCTTCTCAAAACTGTTCTCAGGCCCTAAGAACAAACTCTCTGAGCTGATAAGGACAATTGAAGCTAAAGCTGCCTCTGGGCTGTTTCCTGCAGCCAGGAAGAGTGGCTTCCAAACGCACTCACTGTCAGGCAAGCCATAAGGCTCATTCCTCTATATTCATGTTGTAGAGTTGGGCAATTAGATTCCTCTAATTGGTTGAGCTGCCCTTGAGGAGGTTATCTGACCTCAGTTACACAAAGCTTTACAAATTACAAAGAATGCTACTCAGGAAGCAATCACACAGCAGGCATGAATTTACCATACAGATATTTTCAGGAGTAGAAATCCTGTAATCCCTGGGGCAGAGATTAGTGAAAACACCTAGAGTTTCTCTAAGTGATGTCCATTGAAAGAGCCAGGGGTGAAAAAGCAGCAATGTGAGAACGTGGGAGTGGGCTATGTGGCTAGAGGTTCTCTCAGGCTGTGTACCAGCGGTGGGCTGAGTGGACCCTGTGCAACCCACATCCTCCAAGATGTATTCTAAACTTGCCAGCAAGGTACACATGATGGCAAGCAGCTTCGTTCAGTCCACAGGGTGAAGCTGTGTCTTCCCATAGATGGAATTGCTGGAAACAGGGATCTAATGCAGAGGACAGAACCCAGGGACCATCAGGAAGGCTGGGATCCAACCTGTCAGTCTCCCTAGGGTGGGCTATGGGACCATCTATGAATACAGAACAGAAGGACTGGAACAGTTAGCAAATGACCACAAGACAAGGAATTTCATTAATTTAATCCTTCTCTTACAGGCTCTGCTGGAAAGACTGGAGGATAAGTTTGCAATGATGGAAGCCCTGGAGGCCAATCCCGACCTGCAAGAACCCAAAAGCCAGGAGGAGATCCTGCCGGAACCTGCCGATGACAGTGACAACCAGAAGGATGAACCCAGGCTGGCACCCAACACCCCTCTGTCCTACAGGGAGCCCTTCCTCAAGAGACTGAGGGGGCTGCAGATGCCCAGGATGATGAGAGATTCTGGCTGCTTTGGGAGGAGGATTGATCGGATCGGCTCCCTGAGCGGGATGGGTTGCAATGGTGAGTCCTGTCTAAGCCATCTCACTGAACAGCACAGACTGTGTGCCATGGCACAGGCAAGGAGCAGCTTCTCCTTCAAGTCTGTAAGACACAGCTTCAGAATTAATTTGAGCCTAGTATTTAAGCTAGTATTGGTTTTTCAAAAGCATTGCTGACAATGGTGACACACACAAAGATAAAAACAGATTCTCATAACATTTATTTTATGTTTGGTTTGCAGGTTCCCGGAGAAATTAGGATCAACCTCCCTGGAACCTGCTCTGAAGAATGCTTTACAGTACCCCTTCCTCCCAAGATGAAAGCCAGATGCTTTCTAAGCTCCTCAACAGAAAGTTATTCCTATTTTTATTTATTTATTTATTTATTTATTTGATGTTTTTTAAAGAACATTTCTTACATTAGCACTGACAGACCATCTTTAAATAAAACTAACACATTAGACATCTGTGCTGGACCTCTCTCCTGTCTGTTGCATTAAATTTTCTTGTATTTGCCTAAAGTCAAAATCTTAAGTTTTATTGATATTCTGGTACCCACAAGCCTGGATCTTACTTATATGAGACAGAGAAAACTTAGCAAAAATGAAAATGAGTTTTTGACTAGAGGCTTTTCCTCTGCAGTAAGAAATGCTAAGAGGTTAGCAGGAAAAAAAAAAAAAAAAAACCAAACCAAAAACTTGCTTAACATTGAAAGATCGTCATGAGTCCCCCTATAGACAGGGTTTCAGTGACAAGAGAGTCCTTTTGCTGGTTTAAATTATTCAGTCATGGGAACTGCCACAAATGCCTCACGTAAGCAAAAGTTACATGAAAAGAAATAAATGAAATCATACCACTCCACAAGTTTCAAGATAACCAGAGGGAGGAAAGGGAATTCATTGTATATGCTTTCTAGCAGTGACCAAATAAAGGTTACGAGCATCAACAGAAAGATACATCATTAACTGTGTCTTGTCTCACTCTGCACGTGGCTGAGATGCTGATTCCCAGAATTTCTTGAAGGATCCTCAAAGTTTTGAATATTATCATGGTATTCCTCATGAGGGTAGGTGGGATCACTGAACTACAGAGCAGCATTTATCACTTTCTGGGTGATAAAGTTGTTCTAACATGGCTAATGGGGACACTGCAAGTCTGATTAAGGTTTATTTAACCATGGTTGCTAGATTTCACACCTAGCAGCTGAATTTGACCCAAAACATGTTCTAGCACCCCAGAAGAAGGAAATATTACCAAAACCACATTCAGTCAGCATCCCAAGGAACAAAGCTTGGATCCCCATGTGAGCCCCAGCAATGGCATCAAGCCCAGCTCAACACAACTGTCCTGAGGCTGACTGCATGCACTGCTAGGAACTGTGTTATTTTGAGCACCTCATGAGCCTCATTCCCAGAATCTCAGTGCATTCCCATGTACCTGAGTACCCTGAGAAACTTGTTCAGGGCTTAAGAAGGCAGCACCAGGACAGACTCAGCTGAACAGTCCAATTCTGACTTTGCCTATGCAAATGCACATGGAGACAGAAACTACCTGGTGAGGATAAGGAATTGGAAGGCAGGTGTTCCAGAGCTGCTGACAACAGCTCTCAGGGACACAGCTCCAGGGAAAGGGTGAATTCAAGCACACACCCCTCCTTGCACAAGGCCAGTCACAACTAGGCTGCTGCAACACTTCAGTAGGGCTCATGTCACACATCACACTGGTGACAAGCCACCCTCCCAGTCACTCCCTGCAGTGCTGACAAGGCCTCCAAGAGGGATCTGTGTGCTCCTCTCCACACTGGGCCTTGTGATTCTTTCCCAGGGAAGAAGGGCACAAGTCCAATCTGAGGGGATAATTTTGCTACACTCCAACAGGAAACCACAGTGTGATACAAATTCTCTCCTTCCAGCAGCACCAGCTACAGATAAAATATTTTGTGGAATAGTGTCCACACAGGTTTCCCTGATAGAAGAATAAATTCCCAGGTTAAGATTCCCAGCAGCATCCATGGGACACCTCTACAGTGAAAGATACAGTGACTTTGCATTTACTCAATTTCACAGATCATGGGGGGTGAAGTCACCCTTTGGGGAGCCCTTGAGGGGACAAGGGGCTTTGTCTTCTTAAAAGGCTTTCCAAACACACCCACTGCAGCACGATGGGAGCTGCAGGTGGATCCCTCCACAGCAGCAATGGGCAGCAGCCTGACTTCCCCTGTGCTGCTGAAAGTAAAAACAATTCATGTACTCCAACAATAGCTCTTGCTGGAGCTGAATTTTACCCAGTCAAGCACAACTTGCACAGACACTGTAAATTGTCCCTCCCTGTCAGCCCCTCAAGGCACAAAACTCTGATTAGTTCAGTGGAATGTGCTAAAAATGGCAAGAAGAGGCAATGCTTCCTGACCTAAAGCCAGGTGGGTCCAGTATTAGCAGCAAGCCAGTTCCTGGTGGAACAAGTCTGTATCAGCTTGCAGACAGTAAGTTAATAGACCCTGCAGTCTGGGAGAACCTAATTGAGGGTAAGCAATCGAGGAAAAAAGCATCTCTGACTGGATTTTTACTGCTACTCCCATACATACAATGAGCTGTAAAGCACCCCCAGGGAAATCTTGCAGCCAGGTCAAACTAGTGCTGCACTCAGGAGTAAGCACTGGGAAAAGCTGAATGGGACAAACACTGATCACTCTACAGGCAAAGAACATCACCCCCAAGGATGGAAAAAAGCTGCCCCTGGTGCTGTGAGTGCTGGATCAGAGAGAGCAGGGCACAATCTTGTGAACAGCAGCCATGTAAATGAAGAAATATCCCAGTGGGACCAGAGAGGGACCAGGCTCACACCCTCCACACAGCTGAAATGACATTTGCCACCTCCTGCCCTGCCAGACTTCATTCTAGCTCCTGAACAGTGTTTGGCAGTACCCATTGCTGGCTGTGCATAATTCACCAGCTTGCTTTCCTTTGGACTCTGAAACACAGTAATTCCATTAGTGTGCTGCATGCACTCTGTAAGGCTGAGCCTTGTTTGAATAGGGGTCTGCATATATTTGCAAATTAGATTTGATGGTTTTTCTGCCCCTCAGACACTGCACTACCTCTATCAAGCTTCCCTAAACAAAATGCTTCCACTGAAATCCAAGCTGGCAGGCAAGAATGCCAAGAGGAGCTGTCAGCCCTGCTTGGTTTCCCTAAGAAATCATATGTGAAGTTCAGGGCACACACCCTCCACTGCTGCAGGGAGACAGGGAGCTGTGCCAGTTCACATCCCAATCCAGCCACAACCAGCTTGCTTGATTTACTTCTGAATCTTGGCCCCCAAAGGCCTTTGTTGATTGACATCTGCTTGATAAGCATGTCCCACACGTCTGTGTGGGAAGGAAGGAAGATTTGTAGGACTTTCCCCCTCTATAACCATCTCCTGACTGCTCTCAGAAAACCAGCACAATCCCATACAAAAAAAGCAGAGTGGGGAGGAGACAAAGTTTATGACAACAGAAGGTGGTGGGAAAGAAACTAGAGTCAGGCCTGCTGTGCTGGGAATTGGGAGACAAGAAAAGAAGAATAAAATTGGTGTGTTAATTCAGCCATCCCAGAGAGACATTCTCTGGTATAGGCATCAAAAGCTGCTGGGGGAGTCAACAAAGGTCTCAAGGTTGTTTTGTCTTAGCTGTTAGTCATGAGTTTTCAACACAGTATTATTTTCTACTGAAACTGGTATATATGGGTTCCAGTCTCTGCTTTGAAATGCTTAAAGATCAGTAAGATGTGTGTTAAACCATACCCAGCCCATACAGCAATCGAAACAGCCTGGAGAAAGGGACACCCTACTCACTTTTAAACTGTTATCCCAACATCCAAACCCCACTGACTGACTCCCCTCCCTTCCCAGACAGCAGTGGAGCTCACTGACATCTCATCCCAGCTCCCAGTAAGCATTTTGAACAGAGGATGCAGAGGAGACTCAGTGTATCCCACTGCCACTGAAAAGCCCTTCAGCACCCTGGACAACAAGAGCAGCTTCATCTCTTCTCACAGCCCTGCAACAGCCAAAGCTCCAGGCAGCCATCCTCTGCTCCTTCCAGTGCCTGCTGCAAGATTCACAGCTGGGAATGCACACACCTGTATGGGAATGCACACACACTGAAGAGGCAGCTTGTATCCTGCTAGCAAAGCAAAAATTTAAAAAATAATAATAATCTCACTGAACACCACTATTTTTTATCTGCTAGAGCCCCATGTGCCATTACAGGGACAATGACACATGCTTGGATTCAATGAGTCTATAAACCTCTCCCATTCCCTCCTATGTTGCTGCATTTACAATCAAAGGCAGCACAGAGCTGAAGCAGAGTTCCCCCAGTCCTTTCTCCAGTCACATTTTCTGAAAAATCCCTTTGCCCAACATTTTTCTCCTGGGAAGCTGAAAAGCCTCAGAGAAAAAGGAAAACAATATTATCTCATTTGCTTCTCCTGTGTTTTGCTGCTTTGGAATGGGGTTGGAGATTGTTTGTCCAACAGGTGATTGTTTCATTGGTTTCATGTGAATTATTTTGACTTAATGGCCAGTCAGGGTCAAGCTCTGGCAAGAGAGTCATGAGTCTTCTTTATTATCTTTTAGCCTTCTGTCTGTATCCTTTGTGTATTCTTTAGTATAGTTTAGTATTCTTTAATATCATAGTATCATAAAGTAATAAATTAGCCTTCTGAGACCATGGAGTCAGATTCATCATTCCTTCCTTCATCTGGACACCCCACAAATACAATATACCCCTGCTAGGGAATCCTTCCTACTCCTTGCTCAGTTAAAACCTCTGTGGCACTGCTTTAGCTCCTCAAATCAGATTTTCTGCCATTCCCTCCAAAGAGATGGCTTTACCCATCTCAGGCTTTCCCTGGCATTACACACCCACCAAGGGAGAGCCAGAGGGCAGCAGCCAGCCAGGAGTGCCTCAGAGAGTGCCACGTGCATCCTGCACAACACAGCCCCTGCTGCACAGGACCATGGCAGGCAGGGAGCTTTTGGGTCAGATATTTCTACAGTGCTCCAAGACTGTACTTACATTTTTGGCTTGTAAGCATGAGATGAAAGCTCAAAAATTGTCACTAACTCTTTTCTGTAAGGCAGACAGCAGGACAAAGCAGGAAAGACAGCCACAAACGAAATAAACATTCAAGATGAAATTAGGATACTTCATACCCTAGAGAAGCCAACTGTAAAACAAGAGGTAGTTTAAACCTCTTTCATTATTACAGGGAGGAAGGTGGGTTCTCAGGTAAGAAAAGCAGCACAATGTGCACAATTTAGCTCCTTATCAAACATGGCAATGCCCCGGAGTGCCTCAGAGTGCCACGTGCATCCTGCACAGCACAGCCCCTGCTGCACAGGACCATGGAAGGCAGGGAGCTTTTGGGTCAGATATTTCTACAGTGCTCCAAGACTGTACTTACATTTTTGGCTTGTAAGCATGAGATGAAAGCTCAAAAATTGTCACTAACTCTTTTCTGTAAGGCAGACAGCAGGACAAAGCAGGAAAGATAGCCACAAACGAAATAAACATTCAAGATGAAATTAGGATACTTCATACCCTAGAGAAGCCAACTGTAAAACAAGAGGTGACACACTGTAGTTTAAACCTCTTTCATTATTACAGGGAGGAAGGTGGGTTCTCAGGTAAGAAAAGCAGCACAATGTGCACAATTTAGCTCCTTATCAAACATGGCAATGCCCTCCTTTGAAACAGCTGTAGTGAGAATGTGGAGCTGCAGTGGTCACAACCTAATGGGTCACAGCCATTCCTCTCTGCCTAGTCTAAGAGCACCTTCTGAACAAACTCTTGGATCCAGACAGCTCATAAACAGCAGTGACTCAACTACCTCAAATCATGCTCTTGGATGTTGCCATGTTCTAATAGTTTTATTATCATAAAGGGCAAAAATAAAACAATACTAGAAAC